AATTTATATTAATTGTCCTTATATTATTATTACATCCCCTGTAAACCGACAGCAAGCCTTCATGATAAATATGGTACTTATATAAATAAGAAATTGTGACATATGAAAAAGTTTGAACTCTTATCCTTCCGCCTTCCCCTTTACCTAATCTGGCAGATGTGCAGAAGAGCACTAATAAATACAAGCAGGCAATACATTTATCTTCCCTGTTGCAGTCCTTGGAATGACTTCATTTGAGTCTTATAGGACTAGATAAACAGAGCAAAGGTTTGAAGACACATTTATTTAATGACTTATATTAAAAACATGCATTCCAAGAAGAGACTACCAAAAGATAAATAGCTCTGCAAGATAAACACCTTCCACCAATGGAAAAGCAACAAAGTGTGGAGAAGAGGTGAGGTTGTAATGTGCTCTACTTTGCATAGAGCATCTCCAAGGCACAATTAAGAGTTTCATGGGGTGTGAATTATTATCATAAGCTTCCAAATTACAAAGTCCCCAAAGCATAGAGAGTTACAATTGCTCTCCCTGTCAAAGGGAATGAGATTGACAAATTCTGTGGCATCTCTGTCTCAGAGATGCTTGAGTTTTGATAACTCAACATAGGGCTCCAATTGTTTGAAAGCTGAGATGCCTGCATGTTACCAAATTATGAACAATCAGCAGTGTCTGAGGGACAGGCCAACATTTTCTGTTTGAGTATGTCAGCTTTGCCAGGAAATTGCTAAAGCTGCAGGTGTATATGGGGTACTATGTGTGAACATGTGTGGGAAGAGCCGAATGTTTTGTGATTTATTGGCAGGTACTTTGTGGGAGATTACAGCATTGTATCAGCTTTATTTTTATGCCCATTGTCACAGAGTGAATCCCTGCAGAGCAGCAACCCAATACTGGGTTGTCAAAGGATTTCTTGTGCAACAAGCTGGCTCTGAATGGGTATCATTGTCCGTGTAAGATCCAGTTCATTTCATGCAATGCTGCATTTGGCCCACAATTTGGTGAGGGAAGAAAAGGGACTCTTATAACTTTAGTAATATGTACAAAAACAATGTTCAAGCCTTGACCTGAATGTGAGTGAACCATAACACTTATACAAGATTCAAGATTTTATTTTCCTGTCCCATTTTTGAGTTGTTTTTGCCAAAAGCAACTATATTACTCTCCACTTTGAATTTTCATTGATGGAATATTTCTTTTCCATCTGACTTTTTCCCAGTGCAACATGCTCCCATCACATTGCTACTAGCCATGAAGCTTTGACGAGAAAGCACAGTGACAAATTTCACAGGGCAGTCCCTTGAAGGCAGTCAAGCAATTGCTTTGTTGTCCAGTCAAGCCATCAATTTGTGATTATTTTTTTTTACGTTCTTCCCACTGATAACTGAGCACTAGAAGCTCTTGAGATGGCATAGTAACCTGTCAAGGTACATTAAAATGCATCAATCCTAAAGCTTCACTTGCAAGCATTTACTGTATTTTGTTGTTGATGTTACTTTTTTCAACTTTTTGTGCCAAGCAGGGATTGCCTGTTAGTATTTTCTGGGGGAGGAGTACTCATGTTTACTAAGAACTCCTCAATTCAATGGAGCTTACTTTTTCAAATTGCCAAACATAAAATTGAACACTCTGATATAAATGGACTTTTCCTTTTTTTTTTCATTCCAAAATGAAGGCAGCAGGTATTTCCAGTGTGTGTATTTAAGGTAATTGCTTGATAGTTCAAAAAAAATCCACTTTTTCCACAAAAATCGTGACTAAAGCATAATACTTTCTCTAACTGATGCAACTGATGTTGCTTTGCTTTTGTAGAGTCACTACTATGAGGCAGTGATAGAAATCAAATAAATGTATAAATAAATAAACTTGGTCTCCTTTCATACTTCTCAAATCTGAAGAAGGCTGATTTAATCAATTGAATCTACATTTTATATAACAAGCATAAATAACATTTTAAATCTGTGGTGGGATCACACACTGCACATAATGTGGCATATTTTATTTTGGCTAGCATGTTTTGCAAACTCTGAGAGTTATGGTTTATTCAATAAATTATGTTTAAACAATGTCTTAGAGCACTTTAGAAATCCAATCGAAACGTTGGTTTCAAATTTGCAGTAGGAAAGGACAGTTTTAAATAATAAAACACAGAATCAATGCCAACTGCAGCATCCTTTCCCTGTTTAATTTGTGTTAATTATGCCAGTGAGCCACTGTTGAATGTGGTGGATGAGAATGGATTCTGGAAGAAGGATCAAACTAAGCCAATCAAAATATATCAGGGATTATAGTTTTTGACATAGTCTAAAACTATTTAGACATTATCTTCTTCAGTGGCCTTTCACTGAGATAATGATCACATCTAAATTTCAAGGATGAATGTACAGATCTATTGTATAAGTAACAGAGTATTAGAATAACAAGATTGAAAGGGACCTTGGAGATCTTCTGGTCCAAGCCCCTGCTCAAGCTGGAGACCCTATACCATTTCAGACAACTGGTTGTCCAAGCTCTTCTTAAAAGCTTCCAGTGATGGAGCACCCACAACTTCTGAAGGAAGCTGTTCCACTGAATAGCCATTACATATATTTTAAAAGGACCATGGGCAGAGAAAACCAGCAACCAGTGCAGCTTGTGCAACGGGGTGTTACATGGGTCTCCTGAAGGGCCCAAGAACTGTCTGTGCAGGTGCCTTCTGTGCCAGCTGTAGCTTCCAAATACTTGTCATGCTTGCTGGTTCATGCTTCCTATAAGGCCTGTTTTCAATCCCAATTGCAGCAGGGCAGTAATTTTAGCACCTTAAAGATTGAGTATGTTTGTAAAAGAAAGAAAAATAAGGATGAAGAAACAGGCATTCTGAAGCTGTCATTTCCTTCCTGCCTTGATGCTATTCCATGTTTTACAACCTATTTGACTTTTCTAATATGTTGGGGATGGATGGAACTTTGACCACCCCCCAAAAAGAAAAAAAAATTCTAAGTGTGTTTTAACTGAACTGATAGCACAACAGAGAAATTGATTGACTGAACAGTTATGTTTTTCCTTTCTGCAATCTAACAGCACTTCAGTTTACAAATACCATAGAATCCCAATACAAAAAGCAAAAACAAAAATACAGAAAAAGATTCTACCAAACTAAGAGACATTATGACTTAACTGCCTTCCAGAACAACATAATCTTCAACATCTTCTGGAAGGGTAGGAGAAGATCTAATTTCAAGTAGCAGGTCATTCCTAAGGACCAATGGCATCACCAAACAAACAATCCCCCCCCCACTTCCAAGCATTGATCCACTTAGCCTTCTGAAAGTGGGGAAGTGGGGAGTATCAAGTGCTTCTCTTTAATGAAGAGTTGTCAGGCCAATTCCTATGGGGAGATGTGGTTCAATAGGTAGTCTGAAAATAAAATAGAGTCTGCTTCAATTGCCTGAGAACAAAGCAGCAGTTGGGGGTTAAGTAAATAAAATGAGAAATCCATAGGTATCCAACGTGTAGCCAGTCACATTCAATATATAATGCATTTTACCAAAATTAAGAAGAAAGGCAATTGTGGTGCTGATAGCCCTGTGAGTTTATCATGATTGTCCTCATTCATCACTGCTATTACTTGGTTGAGGACTCTTAAAATCATCAACTCTTCAGATTTAGTTGCCCTGCAGTACTTATTACAGAGGGTGAACCTCTGCCCACCCATTTCTGAGCCCTATATTAAACCTGGTTGCACATCTGGGATCCAGAGATCACAGAGTGCTAGAAAATCCAGATAACTTGATTTTTTTTAATAAAAACTTGGTTATTCTTCCTGAACAGTTCCTGCTTCAGAAAACTGCTGTATGATTGAACATCTAGTTTATACATGCACAAAGGAAATAGAGTATACGATGATGCCACAAGCAGTAAAAATAAAAGGATTCTCAAGAAAATGGCTAGCTTATATCCTGGGGTGCCCTGTGAGCTGATAAATAAAGAACAGATGCATAATTGATTTTCTTTTACTTTTATTTATGATAAAGCCGTCTTCCTCCCTCTTCCTTCTTTGTTTCAGTAAAGACTTGAAACTGAAGAAAGTGATTTTTATACTACTCTTCAAAAAAAAAATTGCTTCCTCCTCAAAAATATGACAATGCAAATTATTTCAGTCCAGCAACATATTACTTGCAGTAACTTATTTTTTTATTGGGGTAAAACTTTCACATGTTTTAAAGCAGTGGTTCTCAACCTGTGGGTCGGGACCCCATTTGGGGTCAAACAACCATTTCATGGGGGTCGCCAAACCACACTGTCTGCCATTTTTTTCCCTTTTCCCTAGCTGTCCTACTCCCTCTTATTGGTGGCCACACCCACTTGGGGGTCACCACAACATGGGGAACTGTATTATGGGGTCATGGCATTAGAAAGGTTGAGAACCACTGTTTTAAAGAGACAGTTTACTGCCACCATCTCCATTCAAAAGAAAAATCAAGGGAAAAGTGATCAAACAGAAGCAAGAAAACAAATCAGCTTGTCATCTCTTCCATTGTTAAGTAGTAAAGGATGAAAAGATCCAAGAAAAGCGTCTCTCCATCCTCCCACTTCTCCCCTTCTCAGCTGGGAAGTCCCTTGGAACTTTTATCCCTGGGCAACATAAAGGTGACAGGGCTGGTGGGAACCATGTTCTCCATTCCTCTCCTGTTCTAGGCAAATTAGCACTGGGGTCCTATCCTCTCTTCAGCATCCAGAAAAAGCCAGAAGTGATTCATATTCATCCATTCATTCACTCCTCCCTCTCTCTCCCTGCCATGGTGGCTGATCCTGGGCTTTGATGAATTTAGACCAATGAAACAAATCCAGCCTGCTGGTTAGTTAGCCCACCATATATTAGCCTGGTGGCTTGTGAGAACCCATCTCACGTGATTAGTTCTTTGTTCAATGGGTGCCACAGGAAGCAGGTAATTGGGTTAACTGAGTTAAGAGCCCTTTAAATAGCCTTGGGTCAGCATATTGTCGAAGGCAGAGATTTTGAGACTAGACGGAGTTGTTGCGTTATCTCCAAGTGCAGAGGCCAAGTAAACTGGAGCACATCTCAAGACGATAAGCTCAGAGATTTCAAAGAGGACTTTATTTGAGATGTTCCTTACTCCCTCCACCTTGCACCTCCGCACACATATTTCACTTCTGCTGTGCGGCCCGGCTGTTACTTTGGGTTTTGCCGAAACAAAAGCGGAGAGGGCAGAGCAAAATGCTATTGATATCGCCGCGTCTCGATTAGAATCAAAGCCAACATTTGTTTTTTTCAAAAGGGCGCTTCAAACAGGGAGGGGTTTGGTCGCGAAGTTCGCTGTCCACCACGCGCGCGCGCACACACACACACAGGCCGTTTTCCTGAAAATTCCTCCTCCTTCCTCATTCGCCGCTCCGTTGCTTTTAGTCTCAGCCTTCTGGGATCTCCCCGTGGCTTGGCTTGCTGGAAGGAAAGAAGGGCGCTAGGACCCGGCGCGCCGGCCGGCAAGCTGCCGGCAGCCCAGGCAATCCGCGAGACTCCTCCTCATTTCCAGTGTCAAACTTGACATCAGGCTGCGAGCGGAGCATGGTAACTTCTCCTGCCATCGGCGCGCTCACAATCAGTGGCATGCTCCGGGAAGAGATGCAGCTCGCGCTGCCTTCTGCACCAGCCACAGCATGGATTGTCACTTCACCAGCCTCCTCTTCCTCCTCCTGGGATCGACGCTCGGCTGCTTGGGAGATCTGAGTCTTTACCCAACCAACGAAGGTAAGCCGAGGAAGCGCTGCTTTTCGGAAAGCCGGGAGTTAAATGGCTCACTTGCCAACCTGGTCCGCGGCGGTTGCTCTTTTTAAGGTGGTCCGGGAGGGCCACTGGAGAGCCATAAGCTGCGCGGCGTTCATCCCGGGCCAGCCGCTGGGCGTTTGGTGGGTGTAGCTATGGACTGGCGGCGATTGGCAAAGTTGGTTCGGGTGCGCTTGGTGGCTGGCTGTGATGGTCCTGAGCCCGCCAGTTCCCTCTTGGGCGATGCAGGTGAAGGAGAGCCGGGTGAGCCCTCGGCGTTTTGCATCATCTGCAGCTCGACTATCGCGCGTCGAAGCGGGTACCGGTGCAAAGTGACTTGGATCCCGGTTTATAATGAATAGGGCGTGTATGTTTGATTATTAGCATAAATGTGATGGCGCAGAGAAACCTTCCCGGGAAAGTCCTACCGTGCAAATCGCCTGCCTTTTAAGGAGGGGAAGCAGAATAAACTATCCGTGCAACTATTTTTTTTTTGTTGTTGTTGTTGAAAGCAAACACTTGGGAAGAGGAACAAAGAGTAGCTTTGGAGGAACGAGGCGGTGCTTCCCAAAACCATGATAATTCCGTATCGCCTTTTATTTTTATTCGGCAACTCAAGACATGGTTTTATCTGGATTAACGATGGGGAAGGACGGCAACCTGTTTTACCCGGAGGATAGCCCACGAGTTTATTAGAGCAAAGACTTCTTTTGCAGAGATCAAAGCTTGTGACTCATTTACACCTATCGTTGTGACGTAATTGCACCGAATGATTCTATAGAAATAATTAAATAAAAGCCCAGTAGCCCACCCACTTTTTTAAAAAAATGTTTGTTATAGAAATTAATATTTGCATTTAAAAGCATTGCTTTATTAGTTTGTGCCACAAACTTTAGAGACAATAAAGCGTTGCTTTTAAAAAAATACCTATCGTTGGTGTCACTGAGGGGGCATCACCTATTTTGCTGTATAAATTGAATGTTAATAATGTTTAAACAGGTTCATTCTAGGTAAGAAATTGTTACCAAATTGATTCCAAAAAGCTATATTTTGAAGAAAAGTGACCATTGAATAGATTTTTTTCCCAAAAATAATAGATGTTCTACACATATTCCGTAATGTATGATTGAAGTTACAGCGTTGAACATTCAACCTTCAGCATGACTATTCAAACGCACTATGTACAAAATGAACAGGCCAAAAGGGTGGGGATAATTCATATCCAGTAAGTGTTCAAATGTTGCACCTGCTTGATCAATGCTAGTTTAACGGATTTGTATATGTTTTTGTTTTGTCTTGCATTTGGAACAGGAAAAGACAGGCTTATTTATTTATTAGTTCTGCTTTGAGGAGTGCTATATTCAGAACAATGCAGAAATTATTTTTGTAAGCAAACAGCCAGTTTATTTCAGGTTCAAAGAAAAAAAAACTCACACATTCAGTGTATGTGTGTGTATAATTTGACTATACCGATTAGATTCATTATAGTGTAGTCAAATAATGAGTGTAGCTGATAGGAAATCTCTTTCTGGAGACACCATTCTGGAGTTAGGTGAAAGTCTTATCAGCAAAACTCAAGGATAATACATAATAAAGCAATAAACCATCTAGTGTGCTGGCAGGCAAATCATATTACATATTAAGATAGCAACTCTTATTATATAAACCCCTTAGGTTGGATCTGTTATATCTGTTATTTGGTGTATTTGTTTTTTGGGGCTGGTTTTTTTTTTTTTGCTTTTTGAATGTGGCAAAATTGAATTTATTGTCCACAGATGATACTCTTTAGACGATTTCTTTTCTTTCTCCAGTCTATGTAGTTGGATTCCCTCCCCTCTTTCTTTGTTTCTTACTTTTGGGATGGGTGGGTAGTAATAGATCCTATACAATATGCTTTAGTATCATAATAACCTAGCTGTCAGCTATATCATTAATTTTTAAATGTAAATCAACATTTATTTAAGTTGCCCAAACTTTGAAATAAGTATAAGAAATATTAAGTTTTTAAATTTTGTAATTCAAATTAGGTGTATTATATAGACTAAATATAGAGAAAATATAGAAATAAAAATATGTTTCTGTTTGAGTACACTGGAAGTTTTCTGACATGTTCTAATAAAAATACATTTTGAAACTGTATTATTTGAAATAATTTCCTGTATTTAATCTGTTTATAAAATAACAGCTAAATAACATTGATTAAAAGAGTCACTATTTTATGAATTTGTTAAGAGTGCATGCCTATAAAAACAGAAATTAAACTTGCAATTGTATTTAATTACCTGTAAGTTAGCCATATTGCAATAATAATACGTGAATCAACATACAAGCATTAATCCTTTTTCTTCATGCCACCTACTAATGAATTAATGATCAAAACACTTAAAATATTTTGGAGTTGTACATATGACTTGATTTATGATTCTGCAGGAGCAGAACAAATTGTATGAACTGAATTTGTACCAGCTTATACATACTTGTGTTAACTGATTACTTTTAGGTGTGTGTGTCTGTATTTTTTTTAAAAGCATTTGTTTCCATACTATTTGAAAGCTGTGGTTACACAACATATTATACAAAATATTTAATATTATAGACATTCTGGAGTGGGACCACATGATAACTTTCATTGAAACTCCAACTAAGCAAAGAGATGGTAAAATGTAATTTTCTTCAGTGCTATTTATAATATAGTATTAATTAAATTGAAATCTGTTCTAGGGATTTATATTAAGATTAAGTCATAGAGTCATTTAAATAATCTCAGATTGTTTTTAAATATATTAATTATAAATAGAAAAGTTGTGAAGAATTAATCATGTAACTGTTAACAGTAAAATGTTATATAAATTAATGTCTCAACAATGAATATAATTTATTTCTTGCTGAGCTTTGAATAGATTTTTAAAATAATAATTGAAATTAAAGTCTGCTTATAACTTCCCTCTTTTTTCAATTCAAGATGAACTTTTCAAAAATCTCCCAGATTTTCTGGAATACAGATAACCCACTGTGTTTAATTGAAAATCCTTCAACATGTTTAAAGTTGCACTTTTTGTATCATGAACCAAATAAATAATAATTGCAATTTTGTAACTTTTCCCCCTTAATCCATTTCTATAATGATACTATTTGCTCCTGGTTACCGGCATCCTTAATTTAACTGTTTTATAACCTGCAACAGTTAACACTTGACCTGGGTCATTAACAGGATTATCAGCAAATTGGTTTAATCTTTTACTGACAACCTGAATTGCTTCAATAATATTTTGACTATGCAGACAGGAAACTTCTTTTAACCTCTCAAATCTCACATAAAGTATTTCTTATGAATACAATTTTCACTCCCTACTGTTCCCAAGTCACTAGAAATATACATCTGTTCATGGTTACCGTCAGGCTAAACAAGTAACATAAAGTATGTCAGTTTACAACGTATTTGTAGCTTTGATTACAACATGTGAGTATTTCCTTCTATGACTTTGTTTGTCCTAACTATATAACTATATTAGTTCAGTATTTAGCTACATTAGTCTCGTAAAATAATTTCATGTGTAACAGTAGTTTAAAAATTTGTGAAATTAGATGGAGCAACCCACATATATATAATGTTTGAATATAAATGTGTATTAAATCTATATACAAAAAACTTCAAACAAAATTAAACTTTTGTTTTCCTTCAAACAAAACAAATAATTATAAGTAATATTTGTGTTGTGTGTTGTATCCATTTTTAAAAATATAATCCTCTGGAATGTTCTACGGTTTTTCTGCAGAAGTCATACATTGAGTGTAAAGAGGGCAATTGTATGCTGCTGCAATTGCAATTGTATGCTGTTGCTCTCATGTACTTATTATTATTTAGAGTAGTAGCCATTCATTACAAGCTTAGTAATGGATCCTATTTCTGGAATTTTATGCCATTATAATATAATTTCTTTCAGTATGAGATAAAAAGTTTTTAACAATGAAAGGCAAAACTGATATCACCTGAATGATAGATCAAGCATTTACAAAACTCAGCATAATTAAAATTCCAGTTCTATAGCTATCTAGCTCATCTTCTCACTTATTAAAACCCTGCTGATGCCTGTTTAATCCCTGCTGTTAAGCCTGTCCAAATGACAGGGGTTTAAAGTAGTTCAAGTATATATAGGTGCAACAATTTGATCAATTTTTGATCTGCTTAAAATTTAGCATTACTCTATCATATCAACAAACAGGATTTAGGCAGGCATGTGAATTAGTGTTGTGCCTATATGAAATACAAGTAGCTGCTATAAAACTAAATAATCTGAGTTGTAATGCAGAATCTAAAGTTGAGTTAGGACAGTTTTGAAAAGGTGCTTTGAATGCTCCAACACTAAGTGGAATACATTATAATCATTACCATAGTATTATTATAGAATTGAGCACGCCATACCTGGACAACAAAAATCCAGACAACCAACAGGAGTAAAGAGTACCTCTGAATTTTTGCATCCCAGATATGATTCACCTAATAGCACTTAAAAGTTTACATCAATATAAAACTCAGAGTTTTGTCAACTCCTTTTTCCTATTTCAGGTTTAGGTTAATTTTTATTTATTTGAATTTATAAACCACCCAATTTGAATGGACTCTTAATATAGTTAAAGTTTTTCTTTAAAATCATACTTGTCTTAATTTTCAAACATATGATTGATTCATTGGATAAACTTGCAGCCTGTTGAATGAGACATTTTGAATTTAGAACACATGATAAATATAAGAAGCCAAATGTAAAACTGTTATGATAACTTAACCAAGTGCGGGACTTGTACTTAGGAAAAACTAAGTAAATGCTGGTGGAAGAAATTAAAATAAAGGGTTAAAGAATTAAAGTACATAAAACTTTAGAAACCAATCAGTTTTAAATAAGCAGTTAGAAGCTTCTTTGAAGAAGAAAAAGTCTTTAGAAATCAACATATGTTGTAAGGGTTTGGCATTTCAATAAAACAACAAA